GGGACCCACTCATTTATTTTTAGTTAGAATTTTCTTTTTTATGTTAAAAAAAATCATGTGTAATTTTATTTTTATTACATATTAGTCCGGTTTATAATTCGGTTCTGAATCCGTCCCTGATCTTGAAAAATAATTTGGACCACGATTTAACTTACTTCAAGCCTCCAATTTCGGCATTCTTCATTCTACATAGTGGAGAACAAAGTTAGCAAGAGAAACAAGGCAAATTATATCAAGAAAGTGAAGATTTAAAACTTGGAATTCAAGATCTAAAACTAGAGATTGATCCTACTTCTTTCTCCTGTACTTATTTGTTACGGGCGATGAACTCCCATCTATTTTGTTGAAATTTCATTATGGCGATGTTATGGTAAATACTTTAGTGTTGGGATGAAGATGAAACCAATTGTTTTACCGTTTTAATTCAAAAATTGTTTATTTAATTAATTTGTGTTATTGATTGATATTGTATATTTAATGATTATTTGAATGATTGATCACCATTTAGATAATATATTACATATTTTATTTTCGAAGGTTTTAAATAAGTCTAAAACATTGCAATATTAACACAATGCTTAATAAAATATTATTAATAATAGTTTATGACTTATAAAATCGAATATGTAATTGTACAGTTGAATGCATTACTTCACATATTAATTTGGGATATAAATATTTCAGGTCGTGCTGAGGAATATGTCCGTCTTACCTCGGGTAGAGATAGTTGGATGGAATTAGATTATTGATTTTCAATGATACACAAATGATATAGATAACACAGGTCGAGAATTTGTATAAGAGAGTAATAGCTGGATATCAAATCTTACCACATTTTTCTCATACGTAGTTTCCAATATTGTAAAAAAAAACAAAAATTCTAAATTGCTATCTTCTAATTAGCAAAGTTTGTTCAATAAATAGAAATTTAAAAACAATCAATTAAAATAATTTTTGGTATTAGTTACTACTTTGTAGCTAAAAAGTAATTTCTTATTCTCAATTGGGCTATAGGGAGATCCAAGACTGGTCGAGAGGGCGACAAATTTTCAAGAAAATAATGTCGTTAAGCCCCTGTTTGTCTTCCATTAAAATTATATATATATATATTATTATATTTTTTGAGAAAATGAGTTTTGAAATAGTAATTTTTTGGAGAATGTGCGGTCAGAAAGTAGGAAAATCTTTTGAATTTACTGGTAAAATAATTTATTGTGAGAATGTATGATTGAAAATTTTGAAAAAAAAAAAGTTTTAAAATAACGGTAGATAAACATGGGCTAAGTTTCCACACCTTCGAAGAGATGACAATCAAAATGTCATTTGATCGATCGATGCTAATTCAAAGAACAGAATTCATTTTGCTTCTACCTTCTAGTCTCTCAGTGAAATAAAGAGTTTTATCAAGTTGGATATGTAGGGTCGTCGGGTCAACATGGATTTTCTTTTTATAGAAATACATTAATTTTAATTTTAATTTTAATTTTTTTTTTGTATCTTCTCATTTGTAAAAAAATGAGTGGAAAAACAATGTTCCTATCCAAACAAAAATATGAAGAAAATCTTATAAAATAAGAAAATTACTATTATATCCTTTAACAATAGTATATGATATAGTACAAATATATATTTATTTTTGACTGGTAAAGAAAAACAAGTTTAAGGGAGTATTTCGTCATTTTAAAAAGAGATGAGCAATTAGAAAGTTATTTCGTGGATGTTTTTGTAATATGATCACAAGTATAAGTACTAAGCTGCATTTAACTTTTCAATCTGTAACAGCATTTGGAGGGAAATACCGGAAAGCCAGAGTGCTTGTTTGGGGGAAACGAAATCTACTTTTCCGCTCTTCTTTGCTTTCGGCCTCAGATTTTGAATATAGAATTTCGGATTGGTGATTTTTTCAGTACATATCTTTCAAATCAGGTGTTTATTTTCGTTTTTTGGATATATTCAGAGGCTCGGTTATTCGGAATGGCTCCGAAGGATTCGAGCAGCGGAACTAAAAACCGCAAGTCAGAGAAGAAAGATGAATATCTCGTAAGTTCCAAATTTCAAGTAGAAAACGTTTAAATTAGGAAAAATGACTTGGAAACTTGTAAGATTCTAATCAATTAGTATTTTCATGTTGTTTAGCGATAATTTTATTGATTTATTGCGTGTTCTCCTGGTTTCTATTTTCTGTTTTAGTCGGAAGAAGACTTGGCATTGAAGGAACAACTTGAGCTGTATGTGAAGATGGTACAGGACTCCGATCCGAAATTGCAGAAAGATGCACTAGAGAGGTTGAGGTATTCAATCTTAATTCTGGTGAATTTTAGGAAATAAAGAGATGCTTGTTTCAGTTCAACTTGGAAATGAAATTTTTATGATTTTTTAGCTTCGGTTTTTATTGCTAAAATATTGATGCTTATGACAAAGAAGTGCTGTGGACTTATCTTCTTCGAATTTCTAATGCTTAATCATGGTTCACTTTTGGTGTAAGATAAGATTTCCATTGGAATTTTTATTGGCAAAATGATTTATGAACTAGTTTTCTTTACATTGTTTATGTGGTTTTAGTTCAAGTGCCGAGACTAGTTGCTGTACACCTAGAACTTCCAGCCTCAATACTTTTTGGCTATATTTTTTTATAAAGGATGGTTGGGATATTGGTTTAGAATAACAAATTGAAATATTAAGCAGATGATGCAGTATATTTTGCCGTCTGCTGCTATGCAATATGCATCATGAAGAACTTATTTCAAGTATGGGGGGGGGGGGGGGGGGGGGGTTGAGATCCTTTAGGAGAAATCCTTTGAATGAACTTGCATTTATGCTACTAGTCGACTGCCGAGTGAAACATTGCTGGCAAAATATAGAAGCTATTGCATTTGGGTGCAGTTTGTGAACCATGTTAAGTCTGATTAGAATAACTGCAGTGTCTTCCTTTGGGATCAATTTTTGTCTCAGAAAATTATGTTTTTAATAACAGGAACAAGCAGCATATATTGTGACGTAGCCATTAGGGATAGTACACCATTTGAATTATCTTTTGAAAGGGGAAAATTATTGTAAGTCTAGGAGCAAATTCTACTTGGAGTGGATTAGTACCTATTGGTGATAAATGCTGTTCTATTGATGAAAAAGGATGAAAAAGTGGTTCTTGGTCAAGGAATGCTAAGTCAAACTAGTCAAGACTGCACAGTTTACTATCGTTTTATGCTTAACCTGAATGAAAAGTTCAGCTTCAAATGACTGGCATGTGGTATATTTTGTATCTTTATACATTTTTTTCCTACTATTTAGGCAAGAAACTCGTACCGTGACTAGCTCTATGACTTCTATTCAAAAAGTGTTAAAGTTCTTGCGTCCTCATTACCGAGTGTTACAAGCATATTATGGAGATATTGAAGATTCAAATTTACAGGTAAAGTTCCACGTTGTGAAGTTTCTGCTCATATATGTCTTTCTTCTTTGACGCATGTCTTTTTTCTTTTTTTTTTTGTGCAGAAAATCCTAGCAGATATACTTTCTGTTTTGGCCATGACAATGTCCCCTGAAGGAGAACGTGTATACTAATTTTATTGAATGCATAATGTGTACAGTTTTCTAATTTCTGTTTTTTAAAGGCCGTCTTGTCCAAGCATTTACTAAAGCTCGGCATGCAATTACATGAAACATGTCACACGAAGAAGAAGATTGAAATCATAAATTATCACTTTTTGTTCAGAATTTCAGAGATAATTGCAAAAAGCTTAAGCACAGATAGCAAACACAAATGAACCTAAAAGGAACAGAAACAGTGAGAGTCATGATGCCAGCCCTTGTATTGGTAATTGTGGAATTAAGTCCAAAACAAGTTGGTAACTACGTTTTTCTATAAAAGATGGCATTGAAACTGGATAAAGAACTATGACTCATTAAAACATCTTTGGTGTGGCTTGAACTGTAAACGAAGAAATTGAAGTTCTCTGTATCAAATGTCGTTCCATTATTAGTGGGGTTGCATTGAAATGAATGCCCATCGTATTAAGACCTTGATTAATTACTTCTCTTCATTTTCTGGTAAAAAGCAGGATTGTGTCAATTAATGGATAGTGAGAAGCCCTACGAATTAAGAGAGCAAACATTTGAAATTGTTGCTGTCTAAACCTGCTGGTGTCCTTAAAAGTGAAAATACAATTCTATCCTAAATCAAAAGGCGCTTGAAAATGTTCTAATTTGTAAAAAGCATTTAATTGAGGAAATCTTTGGAGACAAAACCTTTTCTCATGGACATCATTTAAGTGAATGAAGTTGGAAGATGACGCTCAACTGAATCCAAATTTTCCGCATTAATGATTGTAAAAGCCCTTTTGGAGCCATGTGGATATCTCCCCATTATGACGGGCCTATATCTGTTATTAGATATTTGTTATTTATGGGGATATAATGTTAAGCAATAACGTGACATTTATTTATGTTTTCATATACAGGAGAGCTTAAAATACAGACTGCTAGGATCAGAAGGTGATATTGTTTTGTGGGGTCATGAGTATATCAGGTGAGGATCTCTATAACTAGCATTTATTTGATTGCAGAATGATGCTCAAACAAGCATTGCATTGCATTGCATGCACTCTGTATGGCTTAGGGTTCGTATTAGTTCAACTTGGATTGGAGATTGTTTTATCTGAAGTTTATGCCAGGCTATTTTTTCAATGTTGATACTTTGGTCAGGAGCTTGGCTGCGGAAATTGGTCATAAGTGTCAGAGACGTGTGGTTAGTGCCTCTATCAATAATGGATATGAACACAATTTCACTTAATTTAACATGTTCATTAGTGGATTTCTTGACCGTGTGCTTGCATTTGGTTCATACTTCAAATACTCTTCGATGTTACTTTTACAATTTGCATATGGCAATCCAAACTTTCACATTTTTGAATACTGTTCCCACTACATTACCAGGTTAGGATTACTTGAATATGTTGCTACTTTTATACATTTATAAATACTTATCAAGAGAAAGTCAGTTGGACAAATGCATCATATTCTGAATCTATTATTTTTTATATTAGATTACAATTTACAAGTAACACGGTAAAGTTGATGAATTTGCCACATATAAAATAGTTGAATTGTCAGGGCATTTTGCTAATTATATATATATATATTCTGCCAAATTCATTCCAGAATAATGGTGAACTAATTGATAATGATCTGCTGAAGTTAGTAGAGCAAATTGTCGTCTTCTATATGAAGGTATGGTTACTCTTTAATTAGTTTAACAACACTGAAGACCTTTTTGCTTCAGCTTATAGCAAGTATTTTCTATAGTCTTGATGAGGCATAGTTAAGCCTTTCTTGAAAATTCTTAAATTATGATTTTTCACGTATTTGCAGCAAAATGCGGAACATGAGGCAGTAGATCTTATAATGGAGGTATTTTTTTAATCTTTTTTACAGTCCGTCCAATTTTCAATAGATGATTAATGAAACTCGAGAACCATATGAAGTACTTTTAGGAAAATGAAACCACTAATGTAAAGTTTGCCTGTCACTGTCCAGGCTGAAGACTATGATATGTTAGTGGAGCATGTGGATGATGTGAATTACAAGAGGGCATGCCTGTACCTTACTAGTTTGGCAAAGTAAGTAGATTCCATAAATAGTCATCTCAATTATTCTGTTTGACTACCCAGAAGTAATTGGATTTTTATCCCGTCTTTGCTGGATTGTAGTTTAAAACTAGCTCCTCCCCACTATTTTTGGAACTTTGTCAATTTGATATCAACATGAAGTGTCTGAAAAAGTTTGATGCCAATTTGACATTTTTATTCTTCCTGATGGCATGTTTTAAATAGAATGTATTGCCTTGTAAAGAGAACTTTTCACTGAATTTCCCCCCACAATCATGTGCATCGCTATGAAACATCAATTTGAGATAAAGCATATTTTCAGTATATGAATCCACCGTCCTCCAAGGCTCCAATTATGCATCCTATGCACAACAACATTTTCTTAGTAGTTATATGTGTGTTCCATCAGTCATTTTTGTACTCTTCATAGCAGTAATCTTATGTTGGCACCAGAATTGGGAGTTTCAAATGCTACATAAGTTGCGGAAGAAATTTAAGTGTTTGATTAAGAATATCATTGTTCTTGTCATGGTATGGGGGTGTTGGAGTATTGAATCTCATATTGACAGCATTGGATTAAAAAGAAAAGAAGAAAAATCAAGAATAGAAGAAAAGCCAGCTGGAAGCAAAGTTAGTTAAGAAGAAATAGTTAGAGTTAATTATTTTCTGTTATAGGAGTTAGTTAATTTTGTTACTTTCAGTTCAATTTGTTAAATGTACGAGCTATAAATGTAGATGAGGCCTGCTGTATTTAAAATACAAAATTCTGCAATACAAGGAAGATTTTTCCTCCCTCTCCCACGTCTCTCTTCCTCTCTCATTTCTGCTGTAATTCAACCGTTTGTTTTTAGTTTTCAACAATGGCAGATTCTGCCGATGATAACCATTATCAAAAATAACTTTCCTTATATCATCTTTTATAGAAAAAAAATTCTTTACTAGGGTGGTTAGAGCAGCATGCTAGTAGTAAGATCACTGGTTACAACTTATCAAAGAAATTTCTAGTGCTTAGCAATTGTCTTACCACTTTTCAGAAGTGGAATAGGTGGCTTATAAATTGCGTTTGGGAACTTTCAAAACTAGACCAGGTCTAATTTGGTTACTTAATTTCTGAATGACAACCTGAATAAACTTTGTTTCCAATTTTACTTTGGATTATAGGTAGAACAATTAACCAAATAACCTTATCCTCTGAATAATGTAGCGTTTGGGAACTTTCAAAACTAGACTAGGTCTAATTTGGTTACTCGATTTCTGAACAACAACTTGAATAAACCTTGTTTCCAGTTTTACTTTGGATTATAGGTAGAACAATTAACCAAATAACGTTATCCTCTGGATAATGTAACATTTCCCAAACAGACCCATATAAAATTAGTTTTGAAGAAATAATTTTTTTAATAGAGTGACAGGTTTATGTTTTTGTTCTGGGGGTATATGTAATGCTTTGTTTCTTTTTTAACATTTCGGGTGGTGGTGGTTGTTAGACATTGTAAGATTGCTAATAACATGGTAGATATTGGAGATATGAAAATAATAATCTCTATGATATTTTTCTAATAGTGTAGGATTATTTTCTTTAATAGTTGATTGTATAATTACTGTGCAGTCTTTCATTTTAGAGTTATTTATAGTCCTATAAATAGGGTATTTTACTTT